ATCACTGATGAACATAGATGCAAAAATACTCAACAAAACCGAATCCAACAATACACTAAAAGGATCATATACCACAATCGAGTGGGATTTATCTCAGGGATGCAAGAATTCTTTAATATCCACAAATCAATCAATGTGAAACACCACATTAACAAACTGAAGAATGAAAACCATATGATCATCTCAACAGATGCACAAAAAGCTTTTGACAAAATTCAACACCCATTCATGATAAAAAGCTCTCCAGAAAGTGAGAACAGAGAAAACTTATCCCAACACAAAAAAGGTCATATAAGACAAACCCATAGTTAATGTCATTCTCAATGGTGAAAAGGAATATTCCTTAGGAGTTTCATATATTTAAGAAGTGTTAACTAGATCAATGCTTCTCAAACTTTAATTGTATATGAATCAACATGGACTCATTAGAAAAACCAGTTCTGATTCAGTAGTGTTGGGGTGGGGGCTAATAGACCAAATAAATTTCTAAAAAGCTCCAAAGTGATGCCCATCATGTAGTATGCGAACCATACTCTGAGAAGCAAGGAACCAGATAATTGTTAAGGTTACTTTTTGATACTGACAGTCTATAATTTTCACTAAAAAAAAAAAATACACTTCAGGAACAGCAAAAGCAATTATATTCTGTATTTTCCATATGAAAATGGTGGTGTTTGAGAGCACAGAGGAAGCAGGAGCATTGCCTGGAAATGGAAGAAGCCATATTTCAAAACTTTCTCAGTAAATGTAAATTTTTAAGGAACCCATTCTAAAGTGAAAAAAGAAATGTCAATGAATATTTGTATATGACTACATTTAATTATCTACTTTCACTAGAAGTGACAAGTCATGTTCAATAATGGGAATTAATAGCACTCATTTCTTCAATTTTAATAATTCAGCTTTGTATTAAATTCAATATTCTGTTTGTCCAGTTCACTCACTAAGTCCTTTATAATTACCCATCCACTCTGGAGCCTTTCCGTGTACAGACTTTGCTTCATTATCCTCTTACCTTCATTCCTGTAGATTAGAACTTCGTAGCCTGTAGGATTATAGATGTGCCTCAAGATATCTGGTCTTTTCACCCTTTGGGAGGGCCAGGCAAGCAGCCTGATCCTGGGCTCCTGAGGAGAAGACACGACCAGATCGGCAATTAGTCAATCATGATTAGTGAGTGACACCTAGCACTCACTGGTCTGGCCTCAAGGGAGTGAGCTCAGCCGAGCTGGGTGTCTCTCTTGCTATCACCTTCAGCAACTTGCTGCAAGCATGTCTGTTTTTATCTTAGGAGAAGGAACTATGGATCTGTTGGAGAAGTTCCTGTCCTAAGTGCTTAATGAGCATAGCAGCCCCACCAAAATTTGGCCATGGGAGGTTAGACAATAAGAAGCTTTTGGTAGGTATATCTTTAGGCAATGGCACCAATGTCTGTCTTCCCATGCATTATACCTTTATCCATTTGTGGCAAAGTAGGCTCATGGTAACGTTTCTAAAAGGCGCATGTATTTTTCAATTTAGAAAAATGATTTTGTAATACTTTATAAAATTTAGGTTAATTCTAAATTTACAGCAACTTCTTATGAAATTCCAAAGGTAAGTTTAGCAAGGAGCTAAAAGGAAGACTTGCTATATTTAAGATCAAATGTTGCAAATTTTTAATGATTGTAAAAGTTGTTTCAAAATTTTTAATCTCTTCTACAAAATTTTTTTTTCATTGACAGTGGCCATAAACAATTCAAAAAGATCGACACTGTAATATTTTGATTAGAAATGATCTAGGCTTTCAAGCATAAGATTAAACAGTTACGTTGGTGGAAGTATATTTACAGTTCTTAATGTTATCTATGTTCAATTTTAATATATTGTTCCAAATATTATATTTTATTTTCTTGTCAAAACTGTATCACATTTTTTAAAATGCAAAAAATAGCTTTAGTAAGTGCTGTACAGATATTCCCAAATGTCTTCCAGCTTACCCTGTGTGTCATGCAAATATTATAATTTTCTATTTGGTAAAAAAAAATACTGCTATAGGTAGATTTCCCTCAATAATATGTTCTGTTACCAAATATCTCTAGTATAATTACAGACTAATTAATCATATACTTGTCTTAGTATATAGCTACTATTACCCAAAGAAAACATGAAGTCTACATAACAATTGGAAAATGTTAGACCTAATTTATTTCCTCACTCCTTCCCCTATGCCTCTTAAAAAAAAACAACAACAACTGAAAAATTACTCTGAAGGGCTGGTAATACTCTTTTTCTTGACCTGAATGGTTATATGGTGTTCACTTTGTGATAAATCATTGGGTACATGATTTTATACACTTTAGTGTACCTACTTTATTTCACTGTAAGAAAAGGTTTGAAGTTTTTATTTTCCAATACTAAAGAGATATGGTGATCTACAGATCTCTGAACATCCTTTACCTCCTGTTCATAATACCTCACTACCCTCCAAGAAAACCTAATAAATGATTAACTCTAGCACTGGGCAGTTGGGAGAAGTCATGAAAGGCATGAGACTTACTTGATAATTCATAATAGAAACAGTACTTTGCAGTTTCTGAATTATCCTGTTTCCTACATAAATTAATCAGATGAATCAATGCTATTAAAACCAACTTAAGGGTGATAATTGGGATTTCTAATTCATGATACAAAATATGACAGTGATGGGCCTGGAGGTTATTACTATGATCTACATAGCAGGACAGGATTAGCTCTTGATATGACAAATTTAAGATGACTCCTACATGTATATTTGCACCTCTAGCCTTAGCAAACATTCATCCCTCCTGCATCCCAAAAACTGTGGCAATTAAGGTCCAACAGATAAAATTCAGAGAATTTAAAAATAAATTACTGATATATATATTTTTGGATGGGGATATTATCTTTCTACTGTGAGAATTTAGTTTGCACTTTTAAGTATATTAACTGAATGTTTATTCCAGGTGTTTAGGGTGCTCCATTTAAGATAAATGATTCATTAATGAGACACTGGCCTCAATGATTTATTTGAACTGCCAACTGATTTACTTGAAGAACAATAAGGGCAGACACATTCCTGCTCTAACCATTCCTACCATTATTAAACATTTGCAACAAGTTTCTCTTGTTTTGCTAGCACACAGTTAGCATCTGTCTGTTATAAGAATGAAATACCCTAGAGAGCTTGAGTCCACAACTCAGCTGAGATACGAAAAGACAGCTCACCTAGCCATCAATACTCACACATGTGAATTTACAGTGCCAACAGAAAAACTATCATTCTGTCCATTCTACAGCACCTCATGTGAGAGTTACATTATTGTAATAGACTTAACTGCATCACATGGTTTACTAACATTGGCATTTGTTCTCATTAAGAAGCTTTATGTTTAAAGAAATTATTGATCTCCTCCACATTTCTGCAAACACGGAGGCAAATGAAAAATCAGTACTAGCCTTATCTTCCACCAAGCCTCCATTTCATTCGCTTTCTGTCAAGAGGTAATCTCTTGCTTCCTTTCTCCACAAGCGCATATGCTTTCTCCCACTCATCCCTTTTCTCTTTTCTCTAGAATAGGCTGCGCCCCCCAGCGGTTGGGAGCTTTAAAAAGAAAAACAAAAAAGAAAAAAACCTTTATCGGGCAAGACTTTGAATCCCCTGCAATTTTATTTTAGGGCTGAGTACATTATGTTCCCGAGAATTCCAATGCAATTAGTCACGATCATGACATAACCACACTTCTCCTTTGTGGTCAAGTTCCTGTTTTTTGCCTTTTTAAAGAGGGGGATGGCACCAGTCAAAAGGAAATAGTTTGATTCTTGGGGGCACGGCGATTCTTGGAACTCAGAAGCGGAGCTCGCGCTGGCAACCCGTGCTGGTGGCGCTGTCCACTCCTTGGTGCTGAATGCAGAGAGACCCCAGCATTTACCACCAGGCTCAACGTCTCAGGATCAGAAAAGGTTCAGCCACAGTACACTGTACCCACTTCCCTTTTCTGGGATAGAGGACCATTTAGACATCTTCTTATTCTCTTTCCATAAGGAAACACTCTTCCACCAAAAGAAACTGTGCCTCTTACGGGAAAGTAATGGCACAGTTTCAGTTCAACACCAAAGTGAAATGGTCTCCTGAAGGAAGAATGGAAATTTCAGAATTAATGAAACCTACTCTTCCTCTTTCTGAATCAACACAATACAACTTGGATACACTTCCTTGTTAATAAATAAAGGAAACTTTTTCTTAATTGTATGATAAAAATAAATAAAAAGTTAAAATAATGTGATTATTCATTTTTTTTCTGATAAAAACTGTAAAGTGGGTGGTACTGGGCGCTGCAATATCTGAGACAGAATTTTAGATATTGTTTTACTGAGGTTAAAAAACAGAGGAGAGAAGGATGTAAACTTGTTAACTAAGGTGGTTTGAATGGCTAAAAATATGTTCTTTAAAATGTTGCTTTAACATTGTCTTCCCAGAGGTGCTCATTCTCCTAGGCAAATTAGGTCAGAGGCTTCCCTTCTGGGCTCTGTCTTCCCAGCCTCTGTCCCATTTGAAAGACAGAAAGGCCCTGTTCTTCACAGCAGGTGCTGATATCCACAGAGTCGTTATAAAAATCCTCCTCTCTCCCTTCCCCCACACAGGAGATAATCAAGCAAAGATCAAGAAAATGGACAAAAGGCACAAAAGGGAAGGAAAGTGTGCTGCGCTCCAGGTCTTTGATTCTTGGTAGTTATATTCAAATGGGGGGCACTTCTCAAAGAGAAGTGAAGGTGTTTCTCGCGGCTGCAAAATTTACAGTTAGAAAGGGAGTCGACTTAACCAATACCAGCAAGTGTTTCTTCCTTTTCTTAATCCCTCGCTGCTTATTTTAGCAGCTTCTCCACCCCGCCGGGAATACCATCCAGATCTCAGTCCAGGTAGATCTGACGTCAAGAGATGGCTTTCGTAGATTTGACGTGTAAACACTCATTTCCATTCCTCCTCGGAAGGGCTGGGGCTCCACTCGGCAGGGAGACCGAAACGCTGCACTGAGCGCTCGCCACCGCCCAGCGTCTCCTGCGCGTCTCTGATCTCATCGCAGAGCAAGCCGGAGCGAAAGTGGCCCCGAGCCCCGAGCCCCGCAGTGGAAGGGGCGCTCATTTCTGGCTTCTCTGGCGTGCTCCTCGCTCCCCTCCCTCCCCACTTGGGTGCGAGCCGGCGTGAGGGCGATGGAGCGGAGAGCCTGGACTCTGCAGTGCACTGCTTTCACTCTTTTTTGCGCTTGGTGTGCAATGAACAGCGTCAAAGCGAAGAGGCAGTTTGTGAATGAATGGGCGGCTGAGATCCCCGGGGGACCTGAGGCAGCCTCGGCGATAGCCCAGGAGCTAGGCTATGACCTTTTGGGTCAGGTAAGAGTTTGCACTTTCAAGAAACTTTCTGGGGCCCGAGGGGACTGGAGGGACTGGAGCGCCATCTCCCAAGCGGGAGTCCCACGTTGCACTCTCCTGAGCCCAGTGGCAAAGAGCAGGAGCTTTTCCGGCTCTCGCCTCTGGCGCGCTTGGAGAAGCCTTGCATTATTTATTGTTTGGGCTGGGCGCAGCCAGGCAGAACCCAGTCGCTGCAGCCGGGTACAGCTTAGTCTTGGCTGTTTTCCGTTCTGGAATTGAAATCCGTTTCCCGCGCGGTTTGGAACAAAAATCCCTCCACTGTCGTTCACGCAACTTGAGATGCATGCAGGCTCGTCCCAAACAGCGCCAGGGCAGGTGAGAGGCAGTGCGCTCTGTCCCCTTGGGTCTCAGCAGGTCTGCGTCAGGAGCCGGCTGTTTCCTTCTTTTCAATATGGCAGCATCAGATCCAAGTCCCGCTGCAAGGGGCCAAGTAGGCTTGGAGATGTTCGCTGCAGCCTGCGCTCACGGCTCGGCTCTCTCTGGAGAGTGCCAGTGGCCTCGATTCACAACCCGGGGCTGGGGGGTTGCGGAGTGGTAGATGAGGTGGGTGAGAGGCATGGGACCAACTCTCACTGGAAACTTGCAAAGTCCGAGCTTCACAACTTTGCTCGGTCAGTTCCCCTGAAGGGTCAGGCTGCCGAAGTGACGGTGGGGGAAGGATTTCTTTCTTGTTCCTCAGCCAGATGTGTTTTAGCTTCCCAGGGGTTTCCATTTGTGTGTGTTGGGGCGACTCATGGAAGCTTTCCTTTCCCTTGGCTCAGATCAAGCCCTTATTTCTTGCCTTGCAACTTGTTCGTCGAAATGGGGGAGGAGGGAGTTGTAAAACATTTTGGCGCGTTTTTTCTAGAGGTGGTGGTAGAGATGCGGTTGAAGTCAGGGATGAGTAATCCGTGTGGGCGTTGCGATTCCATAGATTGAAATCCTCTGGAGAATGTGCCTTTCCTTGCCAGAGGCTTCATGCTCCAATTTTATGAGCCAAACTGCCTGAAATGCCCAGCACGAAAGTCAATGCCCATACTGACTTCTCTTCTCTGTGTACCAGTAGCAGACCAGTAGTTTTGCTTTTGCCAAGTCCTTGTTCTGTGCTAGGCTCCGTGTTGAGGGCTAAGGAATAACAGGAAGAAAAGAAACCTTCAAGGAACCAAGAGTCTAGAGACTGGTTTTAAAATAAATGATTGCAATTGCAAGTAATTGGTATAGCAACAGAAACTGCTGCTGGAGTCTCAATACTTGTTGATTGAAAGATTGAAGATGGAAGGGAATTGGGAAGGGGGAAAAGAAGACAGCCCAAGGAGGAAACATTTGCACAGGGTTTAGTAAGAAGAGTCAAAGGTGGGAACACGATGAGACTGGGGAAGGCACCCAAGGCATAGGAAATGGCTTGTGGGGAAACATGGAGATAGAAAGAAAGTGGCTTACTTAGAAGTCAGGAAATTGCAAGGAATTCTTGGAATCTAAAAAGAGAGTGAGTAGTGGGTAGAATTGTACTGGTGGGTACTGTGGGCACCATGGACATCTTGTGAGTCCTATGAAGGGAAAAAAAAACCTGGGAACTTAATCCTTTGGACTGAAGCTAAATAGCATTGGTAACTGTGTGGAAGGAGACTAGAGGAGAGAGCAAAAAATAACTCCCTCTTCCTTTTCTCACCTATTAGCCTCAGACATTCATCCAAACCCAGACCATTCATTGTGGGAACTGCTTTTTAAAATCACAATCCCCCCCCAAAAAAATAAAATAAAATAAAATAAAATCACAAGTCTCAATAACCAAATAAACAACAGTAAATCAGTACTGTTGGTAGGATCTTCAAGGAAGGCATGGTCACAAGAAAGTTTAGGAAAGAGTGGGGAAAACCTACCTAGAGTTGCATATGACTTGCATACACATATTTCCAGTTAAACGACATTACTAATAAATGTTTTAAAAATAATAATTCCTTATAAGAGACCAATGGTGCTTTCCTGGTTCTGTTCCTTTTCTTCCTTTGTTTACACTTAGATGCATCACCATCTTGAACTTCTTAAGGCCTCAAGATAAAGCTAGGATAGGGAGGGGGTGACAAGAGGCAAAACCATTGATAGCAGAAACAGAGCTAAGCACTGGTGATCTTTTCTTAAGGCTCCTATTCTCTGTCCCCAACTCCACGTAAAGCTTAGAGCAGATTCACTCTCAGAGGTTCAGGCTTGGAGGAGTACCTAAGCATCTCTATTAAAAAAAGCCTCTAGGTGATGAGAAACATCACTTTAAAGAAAGTAATTCTTCTGAAATAACCCATTGTCAATTGCTGCTCTCAATTAAAGAAAATACAGGGCATCTACAGAATTTAGTAGGTTCAAATTAAGTACTATTTGGAATAAAGGGAAATTATCTTAAAAGAATAATGAACTTAGCTCTAAAGGGACCATTTGTATCAATACCAAATGTATTGATAGTCATCTAGAGAAATTTACACACTCTAAGGTGGAATACCTCTCCTAAATGTAGCATGCTGGCTTCTTCCTCAAAGCTTTGAACTACTGGAAAGTCAAGTAGTCATTACTAGTAGCTTATAACAATCATCACTATGGATTCAATCACTATATTTTATAACAACAAATTGTTCTAGCTGAGTGTGGCACTACACATGTATAGTACCAGAGAGTTTGCCTGCTTTCTACACATTATCATTCTGACACGATACATTTTATAGACTGAATATATTTTTTAGAAATGTCTAGATACACAATAACATCACCTAGAAAAGAAAATGTGGTTTCTCTGAAATATAAAAGACAGAAGCATCATCAGCCTTTAAGAATGCTATGACCCCAAGTGATAATATTGGGAAGCTCATCTCACTGAACAGACTAAGAAGCAAAGGAAGGCTTCTAACAGTGCCTTCCTCATCAAGAAAAAGGTTACCTTCAAGAACAAGAAATGCACTTAATAAAAATTGCCTGTTTGCAAGTTAGCTGGGTTTCAATCTGACCTATACGCATTTATTTTGGAAAGAGGATCTTTATTTTAGTTTTTTCTTTTATAGATTGGATCACTTGAAAATCACTACTTATTCAAACACAGAAACCATCCCCGGAGGTCTCGAAGGAGTGCCTTCCACATCACTAAGAGATTGTCTGATGATGATCGTGTAAGTGCTGTGCATTTGTCTTCAAGCCAGTGACCTGACTTATCTGCCTTCTTTATGCTTGCTGACAAGAACAAAAGCAAATATTATTCTTTTTTCTTGTTTTCACAATTGTTTGTCTGTAGTGTTTCTTATCATTTCCATAGGGTTATAAATGCACAGAACAATAACTGAATCTAACTGGTTGACTACATTATATGTGTATATACACACACACACACACACATATGAACTATATAATACCAGTTCACAAATTCAGTCTGAGAGCATGAAAATGAATACTGAGAATCAAGTGGCAGCACTAATGAACTATTTGACAATACAATCAATCAACAGCCTTTTGTTATATGCCTATTTATGTACCAAGCATTTTGATATCCAGTGTAATGATGCCAAACAAATATAATACAGAAACTCTGTTCTTAATAACATTTCAGTGTTATATGAAAATACATTCTGCTGTTTCTATCTGGTTTGATTATATAAGGAACTAGTGTTTCTGAGAGAGTTTTAAATCCATGTCTTCAGGAGGCAAATGTTTCCATAAGTATTGTATTATCTGACCCAGAGTATTTGATCTCCTTTTATTCTGGTTTGTATACATATTCAGCGATTAGGTACCAGCAGGAAAAGTCTAGAATGAATACAGGTAAAGTGTGGAGCCAATTTCATGTATATCTAATGTACCTTTTGAGTTTTTTAAATTAATTTCTTTATTTTAATGGGAGGCTAATTACAATATTGTAGTGGTTTTTGCCATACATTGATATGAATCAGCCACGGGTGTACATGTATTCTCCATCCAGAACCCCCCTCCCACCTTCCTCCCCATCCCATCCCTCAGGGTCTTTTTGAAGTCTGTTTTTGAGGTCATAAACATCAATAGAAATGCTGATATGAAATAAAAATTTGAAGTATTGTTATATACACAGTGTTGCCTTTTCTCAAGAATATGCCATACTGATGAAAATTTATCCTGGGGAGCTTGATATCTGCATACATGATTTCTGTTGTCTAGGACATTCCCAAGAATTATGAAAGCTTTGTGAGAGATAAAACATACACTTTCAACTTCCCATAAAGAAAAGTAAAAGTGACAGAACAGGGCTAAAATTGTTGAAAGTTCATGGAAATCACAATCGCTGTAAAATAATTTGCTACTTTGTTATGCATCTGATAGAATTTTTAAAAGAAGGAGAAAAAGAAGACAAATTATGAGAGCAGGAAATGACTGGGTCTGGGTTACCAGTGTTCAACAGGAAAGCAGCAACCAAACCCAGACCAAGACGTTCCATCAGGACCATGGACAGCAACCCGCAGCACATAAACATCCGTTTCTGGCTTTTATTCAAGTAAATGGCTAGAAGTGACAGACCTAAGCAAAGGCCCTTAACATCATTTTAAAAGTTTCTTGTCCAATAAAATCTTTCTTTCACTGTTCCAAGGCAGATGACTAATTGTATATGGGCTCTGAAAGTAGGACGACTTCCAGTACTCTAGCTAGGCTTAGTCTTTGGGCAAAAAAACAAGAGAAATATTTCCTTGTCTGCCTAAATGCATGCCTGACATTAATGTACAAGGAAGTCACACTGACCTTCCTTCTCATCTTCACAGGAGAAAACTGGGTAGAGTAAAGCAGGTCTAACTGTTATTATTCAAAGTATCTCACTAAAATGAACAGATGGCTCAGTTCTGTTCTTTAGATAATTGATTTGTAATTCCTTAGTAATTGACTTGGGGGAGAAATCTCAAAACATAGTGAAGAAGAGCTAAGAATTTACTCTCCAGCATAACTTCATTAGAAAAGAGTCTATATAATCCTATGAAAGTTATCCCCAGAATAATTTAATTTCAGGAAAAATTCTAGAACCCATTGAAGCTTGAAGTGGAAGGTTGGACTAGATGCTTTTTAATGCCCTTTTCAAAGGGCATTAAATCCCAAAAGGATTATTTACCATTAAGTACATGATACTTACTATATATACAATAGAAGGATGCTACCAATTTGCTCTGTTCCATTTGGTTTGCTCTTACAGAGACTAATATGGGATTCAGAGTTAATGACATTAATCATAACTCTGTTTCCACCAATTGGTTGTTTACCTCATCAGATGCCAGAGTGCCTCTTCTTTGATTCCACTTTTTTAAAAATGCTCTTGATTTTCATTTTATTGCTCTTTTTTTGATAGGGATAATATTCTTCCAAATTAGCACTCTGAAGTGCACCAATACGCTATCTGTAAGTCTGTTAATGAATTCTCTAACTGTAAGTGACTCTCTCCCTCAAAGATTAGTACTTGTTCCCTAGCAGCCAGCTTCCAAAGACCAATTCAGATGGCAGGCAGTATATTCAAAGCATTGAGGTATTTTAAGCCAAAACAATTAAGTTTGAAAATACAGGCACTTTAAAAATAAATTATAGTGACTAATTTCCAACCCTCAAGTCCCTCCCAATGTTTATAATAGGTTTGCAGTATGTTTTCTAATTGGAAATTCAGGATGGTCTTGCTGGATGGTTTTATCCTTTAGTTGCAAATTATTTTTCAGTTTTTATTTTTGGATCTGACTCATTAGTGTTCTCACATTAGCAATATCCTATCACACACTGGACTATCATCAAATGTACGAAAGAGAGGATATGTTTTGGGTAGGAAACAGTCATGTTGCTCAGCAGAATCAGAGCATGGTAGTATCTCATAATGAATATAACCACAAGGCAGCCCCTCACCTCTTGGGGCCTCAAGTATAATAGGATTATGCTATAAATGTTGGAAAGGTAATTTTTGTATTGTCAGACCTATTTGCATAATACATGAAATGAAATTAATGATAAGTGTGCATGGTCAGTAGGGCTCATCCATCATCCCAGATCTGTTTCTCATATTAAATATTCTTAAGCAGAAGGTTGAAGCACAGGGGAGCCAGAATTTTGAATCTGCAAAGACGCAGCACCTTTTCCATCTTTTATCACATCTGCAATTTCTATTTTTGTGAATAAAGAAAGAGAAATTAAGCTGTAAGAGCAACATAACAGCAGTCTCTGAGATCTCTTAGCCTGTTGACTCATTCCGTGCAAATGGTCAAATTTTTAGCTACGGAACCTTGGAACCTCAATATAAAAATGGGCATTATGGTCCATTTGCTGATGAAAGCAGGCTGAACTTTTACTTCCACTGGAATCACAGTGTCAATAATTTGAGGGAACCATCACTTCACTGACTACTTCTCCTCCTTGTAAAGGCACACTTTACTGTAATAGAGGAAATGGTCATCTCCCCAGTGGGTAACCCCTTATTCTCACTGAGCTGCCAGTGTGATCGGCAGTCAAGTGAAAACACTGATGGAGAGAATCCTAGAGCTAGTTGGAGGGAAGATGAGTACGGCAGAGGTGGCTGTATAACTGTTGATTTTCTTGCTATAAAACTCCTGGTAGGTGATATGGGCAGAACAACAGTATGAAAAAGAGAGAAGTAAGCGTTCCATCCTAAGAGACTCAGCTCTGGATCTCTTCAATGATCCGATGTGGAATCAGCAGTGGTATTTGGTAAGTACCTGCATGAGGACTGTGTAGGCCCTGGGTTACTTGTTGTCTCTGAACAATAGATATTTCTAAGTAACAGATAATTCAGTTCAGGGCTGTCTTATCTGGAGATCAGGGTGAATGGGACCTCCCATGATCTGGATCTTTTGTTTGGCTGTGTGAGAATGTCTAAAAACACAGATCTTTAGCTTCTACAAGAGGAAGTCTCCTTAAGTTTATCTGGAATAAGTACAGAAGAATTGGGTCTTGCAAGGTAGGGTTGCAAAAACAGTATTCATGGCAAAAATCAGACCTGCTCAAAGTTACTCCTGAGAACCCTTTAAATCACCCAAAGAGGACAGTGAACGTGATTCAGTATATACAGCTCTGAATGACAAGTCTTGCATGCTCCCAGGTGAGGATCTCTGAACTAGGCTAAAGGAAGGAACATGAGGAAAGACAAAAGGCATCTATCTGTGAAGGTCTGGACTTGCAAACCCGTTCTGCCTTTAAGGGGCTTCCCTGGAGGCTCAGACAGTAAAGAATCTGCCTGCAATGATCCCTGGGTCCCTGGGTCGGGAAGATCCCCTGGAGAAGGAAATGGCAACCCACTCCAGTATTCTTGCCTGGAGAATCCCACGGACAGAAGAGCCTGGCAAGCTGCAGTCCATGGGGTCGCAGAGAGTTGGACATGACTGAGCAACTAACACACACTTAGTCTACCTTTAAGAGAGTTACCAAATCCTTACTGGAATGTGGGCTGTGAGTGGAGAAACTATACATGCTCCTGCCTGCCTGCCTGCAGGGTGCTCCCCTTTCTTTTTTCACATTAAGCCTCTACTGTAGTAACACAGTGCTTATTGTTGAGAATATTGTAAAAGATAAAATTTCATGAGGACCATAAGCTGAGGCCTAGATATCCTTGTTGCAGAATGGATGGAAAAGATCAATTCTTCTTGAAACTCTCCTAACCTAAGTGATACTTGCTCACTGCAGAAGATACTCATTAACACTTGTGCATCTACCATGTGCCACATATTAATACTATCCTAACTGTTTGACATGAATTAACTCATTTAGTTCTCATGCAACATTGTGTTATTCATATAATAAGTATTCCCTTTTAACAGATGAAGAAACAGAGATATTGGCAAGAATCACATGATTCTTATGGTGGAGCCATAGTTCATATCTCCAGAGGCCATACTCTTAACAGCCAGACTCCGATTATTCCTCTCACTGACATAGAGTCCTTCTCTGGCTTTGGCCAACAATCTGTGTGCAGTTCCAGCCTCCTGGGACTCAGCTTCATGTTGGCCTAGAAAATTCTGGTTTTGCTCCTCCTCTTTCTGATGGGCATCAGTCAGGGGGCAATGCATTCATTGATACTTTTGATTGTTGTCATTTGTAAGTTTCCTGTTGATCCGTTCAGCTAAAAACCCGGCTCTCTTCTAATGCATCTCTCTTGGATGCTTGGGGATGTCCTCATATCTGCAATCCTTTGCTGTCCAATTTCTCTTCCCTACAGCCCCACATACTGTAACTCTCAGAAAAGTTACCTGAAAAAAAAAATCCTAAATCACCTCTCACAGATACTGACTCTCTAAATCACTCATACTTGGAAACAGGCAGTTCAATTCCAAGTCCTGGTAATACCACAGCCTTGTGGGTTTCCAAGTTCTGATTTTTCTTTTAGAAAAGTTATAAAAAAAAATGTCCACGAGTAACTGAACCAGACAAAATAAAGTACGTTCAGTATGGCAGTAGAGGTTTAGGATTTGGGGAAGATGGAAACTTGGGACAGCAAATAAAGCTTCAGTAGATGAAAAGCTTGAGCATGTAATTATAAATGAAAGCAACTTAGGGATAAACTTCTTCAAAGCCACACAGCTCAAAGACAAGGGGCACAGGGTGATTCATCTTTTCGAGTGATTTTCCATTGGAACAACTGGAAAAAGAGCAGAACTATGATGATTCACTTGGTCCTCCCCTCGACTTTGTCTTTTATTTCACCTAATTGCCTGCTTCTAAAGAATAGAATGACCCCAGGAAAAAGAAAGATGGGTCTCAAGACTGGAGCTTCAGTTCTCATTGTGCAGCAAGCAAATTATGATTTTACCAACACTTCTTTGTTCTTTTTTACCAGCAAGATACAAGGATGACTGCAACCCTGCCCAAGCTAGATCTCCATGTGATACCTGTTTGGCAAAAAGGCATCACAGGCAAAGGTGTTGTTATCACTGTACTGGATGATGGCTTGGAGTGGAATCACACAGACATATATGCCAACTATGTGAGTCTAAGCCCTCCTATTCCTGCAGCTTAGGGTGCTGTCTATACAGACATACAGTTAGGGCTTCACTTCCCTCAAGCAGGAGATGCTCTGAGTGAGACCTGGGGTTGATGAGCCAAGCTTTGGCTACTTCCCTCACCCCTCTGCCAGTGCACATAAATTTCTTTCTTTTTTTCTTTCTTTTTTTTGGTATCACTAGACATTCAAAGAATTCACTGAAGCTGAGGACTGTACAAAGTTATGTTGTTGGGGTTGGAAGAGGCACGTACACTGGCTAGATTATTAAAAAGCCATTCAAATTCTATGGCACTCAGTACTGGGGGACATGAAAGCAATCAGATCAAGCCTCACATCTGAGATCATCTTCACAGTCATCCTCCTCACATTCCCTGTGGGTCAGTAGCTCTCACATTGTGAAGTTATATGAATGTGACTCCATCCATGCAAATCAAAGCATGTACTTGATAGTGCAAAAATGACAAACAGAAAAGTTTACCAAAAATGGGAAGTAAGTAAATTATTTACTTGTTTATGAAGTTCTCCATAATATTTTAGGTCTTTAGGGGACTTCCCTGATGGTCTAGTGGATAAGACTCCGTGCACCCAAAGCAAGGGTCCTGGGTTCAATCCCTAGTCAAGGAACTATTAATAGATCCCACATGCCACAACTAAGAGCACACATGCTACAGCTGAATATTCCATAGGCCACCGTTAAAAGATCTTACATGCCACAACAGAGATCAAAGATCCAATGAGCCACACCTAAGACCCAGCACAGGCAAACTAATGAATTAAAAATATTTCAGGTCTTGATTTAAAGATCCGTGTTTTATCTTGAATACTACCCTCTGTCTTTATCCCAGCCTTTCTACTCAACCAACGTTCCAAAGCTAAAGAGCAAAGAAAATGGGGTGGAAAAGAAGAGATGAAAAAGATTAGCAATTATTAAGACAGAGAAACATAAAGAACAGCAGGAGTGGTGACACAATTATTAAAAGGTGGTTGGATCTCCTTGCAGTCCAGGGACTCTTAGGAGTCTTCTCCAGCACCACAATTTAAGAGCATCAATTCTTCAGCACTCAAACTTCTTTATTGGAGAAGGGAATGGCAATCCACTCCAGTATTCTTGCCTGGAGAATCCCAAGGACAGAAGAGCCTGGCAGGCTACAGTCCATGGGGTCACAAAGAGTCGGACACGACTGAGTGACTAAGCATCGGCGGCAGAGAAATACAGAGAAGAGCAGTCTGTTTGAAGTCTATTTAGTGTAACTAGGGTGGCTGGAGGAGCTCACTGTAGACCTGAGCCCCACCCCACAGCCAGCTCTTTGCCCCCGTATCATTAGGAAAGATGAGTGTCAAAGTATTACTAACTAGCCCTACAGCCCAGTCAAACCATTCCACTTCTCTAGACATCAATTTTCTCATTTGGAAAATGACATGGTTGAACTAAGTAAACTCTGACCCCTCCTATTCTAACAGCCTATGAGATTCTCTAGGTTTGGAAACCTTCACTGAGAATTGTTGGCTCACTTCTCTGTGCACGTCATCTCTGCCTGGTTTCCGGCTCTGATGAATGATCAGCAACGGGGCCAGAAACTCTAAACTGCAGACTCTCAAGCCATCAGCCAGGATGGGAATAGGACAGGGGTAGAAGGACTGATGTTGAAGCTGAAACTCCAATACTTTGGCCACCTGATACAAAGAGCCGACTCATTGGAAAAGACCCTGATGCTGGGAAAGATTGAAGGCAGGAGGAGAAGGGGACGACAGAGGATGAGATGGTTGGATGGCATCGCTGACTCAATGGACATGGGTTTGGGTGGACCCCAGGAGTTGGTGATGGACAGGGAGGCCTGGCATGCTGCAGTTTCTGGGTCGCAAAGAGTCAGACACGACTGAGCCACTGAACTGAACTGAACTGAACTGAGGAAGATTTGGAAAGCACTGCTTTTTTTTTTTCTTTTTGATGCTACAGTGTTATTTTTGCTTTCTCTTTAGGACCCAGAGGCCAGCTATGATTTTAACGATAATGACCATGATCCATTTCCCCGATATGATCCCACAAATGAGAACAAGTAAGTAAATGTGGATTTGGGGGTGGGGGTAAGTGCTTTAAAATGCTTTCATCTTATTTGAGAAAATTACACTATAAATATGATCCACATTTTTGCTCTCAGAAAATGCTCATGTACACCATCCATACAACAACATTTTGTTGCTTTTAAAACAGGAAACAGACGCTTCTATTTTTATATTCCTTTTGGCTTACGGGACTATATTTCAATTAAACTTTCTTCTTATACTATGAAAGGTACCCCTCAAAATGTTACTGAATAGCTATGACTTTAGAAGAAATCTTTGGGACATTTGTTGCTGTTGTTCAGTCACTAAATTGTGTTTGACTCTTTGAGATCCCATGGACTGCAGCACACCAGGCTCCCCTGTCTTTCACTGCCTCCCAGAGCTTGCTAAGACTCACATCCATTGAGTTGATGATGCTACCTAACCATCTCATCCTCTGCTGCCCCTTTCTCCTTTTGCCTTCAGTCTTTATCAGCATCAGGGTCTTTTTCAACAAGTCAGCTGTCCAACAGGTGGCGAAGTATTTATTTGAGCCTCAGCTTCAGCGACAGTTCTTCCAATGAATACTCAGGGCTGTTTTCCTTTAGGATTGGTTGGTTTGATTTGCTTGCAGCCCAAAGAATTAAAGAATAAAAATCTTCACTCCATCACCGTTGCACCTAGTTCCTCTATGAATCTTTCACTATTAGCAACATGCTTGTTGCTAGCCACGAAGAGAAATACAGATGGCCAAAATAAAAAATCCCTACAACTTCCTATGGTAGCCACAACCACACTCACTAGTTCCCTCAGAAAAGCATGGCAAGACACCAGACAAGAGAAATATACCATAAGGTTTGGCCCTCAAATCCAATACAGTCTCCAGGGCATTGGGCTAATTAGCCTGTTCCAGCATTTCTTCTGGGTATTTTAATGCTAAAAGGAAGAGACAAAGGACATCTTCTGACTCCTAAGCTAACTCCCCATAGTATCCACAGGGTGATGAGAGAGGATAAGAGCCAGACTTGGCAAAGCAACGAGGCAAATGAAGACCCAAAGGCAAGAGACATTTTAACCTTTTTGTTAGCTCCAAAGGAACTTTACCCTCTAGGCACACAGCCTCGTGTCCATGCCCATGGGAAAACTCATCTTTGTGCATAAAGACATCTCTCACAGACTTGAAGGAGACATTTCACTCTTTCCTCTTCATTTGCTTCACCCAAAAGAAACTAACACCAAAAGAGAAGAAAGTCAAGGCAAAATGAGCACCGCTACAAGAGGGGATGGAAAGAGCAATCAGGGAAAAGCTCCTGTGGCTGTCATATAATGTACTTCCCGTTCCTTTCTTCCTCCCTCTTGGATTAGTATCCAACTTGGGTCAATCAGTTCTCTCTCTTTCTTGCTTTCACCTTCCTTCCCAGTTTCTCCCTTATTATCTCAGAATTCCCATGTGGCTGGTGCGGTAATGTTGACCTAAAGCAGTTACATTGGATTGTCCTCCTCCAGAAGGCCAAAAAACCCCAGGAAGGGAGTCTGGAGCTCAAGGACTTGGCTTCAACTTCTGGGTGTATATTTCTTCCCTCGGTGGGGAAGGGGAGGCTTCGGGAGGTACCATTTACTTTCCTTCAGTACCATTTATTTCTTCCAGCATTTATCTTTTAAAGGGGTCAACCACAAGCAGCCCTAGAGGTTAGACTATTCCAGTAACAACACAATAGGAACCATGAGGGGGGCCCCCTTGGAGGAAAGTGGGATGTCTCAGAAACTTAGAGCAGGACTCCCCCAGACAAATATTCAGCCATATTTCTGAGTGAGGGCAGTGTGGGACCAGGAGGAACATCCATCCTTTTATAGCAGGACCTTGCAATGTTAGCCTGGCTGGTAGTGAGAGCTTTGCCAATTACTAGAAAGGAGGATGGCTTTGAGGAAGTCACTCACCTCACTCTGTCTCTATCTTTTTTTATTTTGTCCCCAAAAAAGGTGACAAGGTTCCTGTTTACCTACACTCCTAAAATAAACTACCTAAGGAAATGGGCAATAAGTGCTAAGAAGGAAAGGGCACTCTTTCTAGAATGAGCTAGAAGTGACAACTCTCATTCCTTTCCCTTGGTCAAGACTAAGAGGGAAATCTGCACCCACATGGGTTCAGCGGAGGAGACTGTCAGCTGGAGGTGTCAGCCCAGCCTCCTTCCTGGGCAGTGTGCCTTGGCTCTGGTCCAGGATCCAATGTGGGTGATGATTTGTGTGGCAGACGCATGATAGGCGAATACCTGGTGAAATGATATTCTTGGAGTTTGGTACTTGTGAAAAGAGGAACTCAGGTATCCTCCTTTCCCCCTGCCAAACAAAAGGAACTTGCAACTCATGGTACTGATGATAGCCAATTCACAAAGTTTCAAAGGCCCCAAGGTAGCAGCCTATACAATTTTATTTAATTTGTGCCTGAAAACTGTGAGCTTCCAGAGCATAGCAGACCATGGACCACGCACATAGTATTGGATTTGGGTAGCATAGCCAAACACTTAAGAGCACGGACTTTGCAGTTAGATTTAGATCAAATCTTAGACCTTTCACTAAATAGCTGAGTGACTGTGAGCAAATTATTTAACTTCTTTGTGACTAGTTTTATCATCTACTGTGACAGATTTGTATTTTCTTGGGCTCCACAATCACTGCAGGTGGTGACTTCAGCCATGATAGTAAAAGTCACTCGCCCCTTGGAAGAAAAGTTATGACCAACCTACACAGCATATTAAAAGGCAGAGACATTACTTTGCCAATAAAGGTCTGTCTAGTCAAAGCTATGGTTTTTCCAAGAGTCATGTTGGATGTGAGAGTTGGGCTATAAAGAAAGCTGGGCACTGAAGAATTGATGCTATTGACCTGTGGTGTTGGAGAAGACTCTTGAGAATCCCTTGGACTGCTAGGAGATCNTCTGTATAGTCAAAACCATGGTTTTTCCAGTAGTCCTGTATGGATGTGAGAGTTGGATCATAAAGAAGGCCACACCAAAGAATTGATGCTTTTGAACTGTCATGTTGGAGAAGACTCTTGAGAGTCCCTTGGACTGCAAGGAGATCAAATCACTCAATCCTAAAGGATATCAATCCTTAATATTCACTAGAAGGACTGATGCTGAAGCTCCAATACTTCGGGCCACCAGATGCGAAGAGCTGACACATTAGAAAAGACCCTGATGCTGCGAAAGACTAAAGGCAGGAGGAGAAGGGGATGACAGAGGACGAGATGGTTGGATGGCATCATCAACTCAATGGACTTGCGTTTGAGCACACTCTGGGAGATGGTAAAGGACAGGGGAGTCTGGGGTCCTGCAGTCCATGGGGTCGCAAAGAGTCAGACACCACTGAGCGACCGAACAACAACCAAAGAGATAATGATGGTACCTATTTCATTGGGGATTTGTGGGGATTAAATAGGTTTATATACATAATTGACTTGGATAGTGTCTGGTACATAGAACAAGTTAAGCATGTACTATGATAATGATGATTAAGGCTTCTCATTTAGCAACTAAGGTAGAACTCCTTTCAGTGAGAAAAAAAGCATGACAAGAATAATATCATCTGATAAGAGCAGAAGCAGAGACAAGTCAATTTTCTGAGCCAATTCAGAATTCGCTATTTGAAAATTACACAAAAAGCAACTATCTCTCAGGGTCCTCTTGATTATCAACCAAAAAACTAACATCCCCATCATTTATCAAAAGGCATAATAAAAAATAAGAGTTAGTTACCCTTCCAGCATAGTGTCAGAAATAAATCCCCTAGGTTTAGAAAATGAATTGCCCCATTTTGTCTTGGCCTTCTTAGCAGTTAGAGACCTATTATCTCCCAGTTCCAAGGACTTTATCTCTCCAAACTATCTGTGTTGCTGCTGTTCTTTATTACTATGTAAATGAAGTTAATAAAAGCTGCATTTGAATTCTCCTCTGCAAATCAAGAGAGGCATCACTAAATAACAAAATCTTAAAAGTGCAGGTAACTCTTACTAGTAATGTAGCATGAATTTGTAATCAATATTTCAACAAAAATTTCAGACTATTTTTCTAGCTATATAACATGTATGGCAAGGATATTTTAACAAGTGCCATGGTCGTCTTTAAATTATCTTCTGAAATAATTTTTAAAAAATCAATTTGTTTAAATGCCAGTTACAACCATTGTTCTAAGATAACAGAGGGTGCTTTTACCCCAGAGGCTGATTTAAGGGAAGAAAGCCATAGGTCTAAAAAGAATGACATTGAAGCACTTTGGTAAAGTCTTCTTTTTCTCAAGGTACAGAGGTGAGAAGTGAGGATAAGAAGAGGAAAAGATATCAATTCATATTTGTACATGATCCTACATTTTTTAAAGAAAATAGTCCTTAGTATGTAAAGAGAGATAAATAATAGGTAGTGTCACAGTGCATCATTTTTAGGACAGAGGTGTAGTGCTGGAGATATCTGCTCACAGGTTGATTCCATAAACTCTATCTATCCACTTGGAGACTTTGCTATCTTGGGCCCTGTCTTCCATTTTGTATGAACAGAAATTCAGGTGGTGGTGACTTCTGGTAGCATATTTCTCAGAGGATGGCAACTGAATTTTCCCTTCTACAAAGGTAGAGAGGGCTAAGCCCCCAAAGAAGAATAAGATGCCTTCTTCATGTTCAATATGCACGCATTTTGCAGAGAATGGATGTATTGGTTGGAACAGCTTCAGTTGCAAGTGAGAGAATCCTAACTTGAAAATTAAGTAAAATGGAGATTTTAAAAATATTTTTTACCCAAGAGATGATCAGCTGCAGGCATGGCAAGATCCAGAAACTCAAAAAATAGGCCTTCAGGACACCAACTACTCTATCTCCATCTCCTAGCACTGCTCACCTCCACTTAGTTTCATTCTCAACAGAGAACGCCTCATAGCAAGGTCCATAAGGCTCACATGGAACTTAAAGCATCAGTTTTTGAAAGCTGTCTGGGAGGACAAGTCTCATGATAGAGACTCACAAGAAGTGGCCAAGGGTTCCTTCTCCAAATGGGAAAATGCTAGAAGACCAAAAAGAAGTCAGTGCCTACTACACCAGGGAAGACTGTGAATTGCATTGTTCTGACTTAGGACTCCTATCCAGTATTAACATAAAGGAGGCCATCATTCAGTGGAAGGAGACAAGGAAATCATCTTTGGTATTTTAGGTAAAAAAAGAAAAGTGAAATAGGTTTATTTTAAAAGACAAGTCAATTAAGAATTTTTATATTTCATCTGGCCTAAATTAATAGATGTCCAGTAGAGCAGTAATCAGAAGGAGCTGGCTGACATTTGCTCAGACCCAACCCTTGCTCTTCTTCCCTCTGTGTCAGCATATGTGTTCAGCGGCTCCTCCAAAGGCGTCCACAGCCTTCATGCTGCTCCTGGGAGTTTTCACAATGGAATAAAGTCATGAAGCAACCAAGTCCACATTAAAGTTCCCTCAACTTATTGACCTTCCTGAGGTCAGGAAGGTGACAGGAAAAGATAATCACTCTCTCTAGAATTTCAGAAATGACACTTTAACAGTAGACTTTGGTCTGTTTAAGAGATGGATTTTCTTTTCCCCCCAAATGCTCTGAAGTCGTAAATTACCCTCATCATCTGGTTGCAAGACTAGTCTTGTTCAGGCTTCTGGTCCCAATTAGAGTTGCAGGAGCACCCTGGCATCCCAAATAGCCTGGAGTGCCTTGTTAAAAATTTCGAAATCCTCTTGGGACCAGGAAACCTTCGGATGTTTTAGTCTGGTGTATGGCTAGAGGAGGAGAGGAGGGCTTGAGAGGGGACTCTGTTCTACATATCCCCCTAAAACTGGTTCAGATTAACCTAATCCAAGGAAGCCACTAGTGAGGGGGAAGGGAAGGGGTCACTTCAACACCAAAAAGCATGGGATCAAAACCATTTCTTTCAAGTGGTTTCTGAAAGTGTCAGAGATGCTCATAGTAAGTATTAATAGCTAACACTTCCTGGTTCTTTCTGCATCCCAGCCACTGTTCTAAGTGTTCTGCATACTTAGTGTTTCATGGGATGCCACAACTTTTGGAGGACCAGTCACTTATCCAAGGTCATATCACTAGTTAGTGGCAGAAGCTAGAATTTAAACTCATATACTTGGGCTCCGGTACTTATTCCCTTCACTTATCTACACGTCATCTAACACTGATGGGATAAAAACTGGCAACGAGGCTGACAGAAAGTTAGTATATCCACGGACCGTCGATTTGTATGCAAAACCAATGTTTGCCCTCATTTACATTTTAAAAATTCTATTTTCTCATCCTCAGACATGGGACCAGATGTGCAGGAGAAATTGCAATGCAAGCAAATAATCACAAGTGTGGGGTCGGAGTTGCATACAATTCCAAAGTTGGAGGTAAAGCAGAGGGTTGTTCCCATAGATTCGCGCTTTGAGTCTTGTGTTAACTGGTGTAAATGGGGTGGGCTGAGGGAAACTTTTCAACAACCAGAGGAAGAAGTGAACCCCATGCAAAATTTGCTACAGAACTTGAGTGTGATTTGAAATGTGCAAATCAATGGATCTGGGTTCTCAGATAATGATACCTGAATAAAGCCCATACATCTCTGTTGGGGGGGGTGGGGAGCAGGGATGGAAATGTTGAATAGGCTTCAAAGCAAATCTAATTTTCTCTGTGTTCTGATTTAGAAGGGATTGTTATTGAGTGCTCGCTAAGAGAACAGAAGAAAAAGGTAAATTTAGGCAAAGATTTTCCCTGCCTCTCAGTTCTATAGTCCTTCAGTTCACAATGAAGAACAGTCAAAAAATAAATAAAAAAGAATGCATATGAATTACAGAAAAAAGACAAAGGTTATCTGTAGTAGCAAGAATTTAGAAACTCTGGTTGTTTCAATGTTTTTATGGGTAAGCATATGGCAAGTTCCATCAGCACAATTTGATAAAAGAACTATTTACAAGAGTTCAAGGGAACCAACAAGTGACTGTTGTAAGCAGATGTTACCACCTTCAGACCTAGTGGAGCAAGGGGAGGAAGTAGTCATGGAAACTGGGAAGAAAAAGCTATGGCCACACGAGACAGCCACAGGACAAGAGCTGGGGCCTGGAGTACAATAGCAGAGCTGCTTCGAGGCAGGGAGGGTCCTGAAATGAGCACTTCATTCTCCCCTCACCCCAAAACCTCCTGCCGCTGTGTCAGTCGGCTGACACCAATGCGAAGGCGAGAGAACCCACTGCTGCCATCCACGGTCCTGTGGATCTGCAGGGGATCAGAGAGAATAAAGCACTTGCCTCTCCTCTTCACACTAGCCCTTCCTCGGGAGCTCATGGTTACACTATTAGTTTTGCATTTAATTTATTTCCTAAAACCACAACAAAAAAGATTCATTGTAGAACATGGCCATGTCAGTGAGACTCCTTCAAGCTCTACATGAGCATACCTGGAATGTGGTTTTGTAATCCTTTACAGAAATCAGATAAATACACATCCTGGCATACAGAATGCATCTCTCACTAACACAGCACATACTCCTAGGTTTTAGGGGTCATTCCTCATTCCTTTGATGCCAATGTTGTCAAAGAGATGCGTTAATCTACAGAAAATGAAGGCAGGAGCACAAATTACATAATCACCTAGAAAAAGAAAGCACGTTCTAAGGAAAGATGAACAAAGTAGCTATAGTCTGTGAGAGAATCATCTCACCCTTTCATTTTACAGAGGAGGAATCAGAAGCAAGAGCCTCAAGGAAACTAAAACACAGCTACTGCGTGTCCATCATTTAACTCCCAAGACAGGATCCACATCCTGGAAGTTAACAGGATGGATCTGAGTGCCAGATTTCTGGGCTTCAAGTCCAAGCAGTTGCAAGCCGTGTGGCCTTGGGCAAGTCCCTTCCCTCTCTGACCTCAGTCTCTCTCCCTGGGAAAGATTACAGCATCCACCTCAAATGGTTGTCATGTGGATAGATAAGTTCACACATTTAAGGCCTGGGTAATGGCAGCTGCATACAGTACATCCTCAATGCACATGAGCTGTGATCAAACCCATTTTACAGTTGAAGAAACTGAGGCACAGAGAAGTGACTTGCTCAAGATCACAGAGCTAGCAAATAGTAAAGCTGGGATTTTTTTTCCCCAAATGCATTTTAAACAATTTTCTTAAAAAAAATAAATATGACTTCTACTAGTCAGGTCAGCTCCACGTTCCTTTACCCATGCTCCATGGTAAACAGTAGTGTGAAAACCTAAGGCTGTGCACGCCATCGCATCATTAGCCTGAAGCCAGCAATAACCAGGTAGCTGCCGATATCTGTCTAAACTACTTTTGCCTTCCTGGCTCTTGCGTCCATGAGTCTGATGATGGGTGACAGCCTGTTGGGAAGCATATGAGCCACTGCATCTGCCTTCTCCCGATGAAAAATGATTCCCCCTCAGGAGTGAAATCCATGGCAGTGATTTCATCCTTGAAGTTATTTAGGAGAAAAGGAAGCATGTTCCTTTGCAAATGTTTCTTAGCAAACACGTAAAAGAAGGGCCTCTGGGTTATTTTTAATCAGTGCTTAGAAACAGGAGTTCTTTCCCTATTTGTTCGTCTCCTTCTGTAGGTAGGTCTTCTCAAGCTGCACGGTTTCCCATACGGAGCCCCTTGTAAAGCGCTGGCTGGGCCACAACAGTTCATGGCACAGTCACGAGCAGGCATGTTGACACAGGGTTGTTTGACACCTCTTTCTGAAAACTACCCCGTCATTTTCAGGTTATTAGGTCAGCAGGGGGAGGGGAGACATTTTTTTCCAGTGGAAAAATAAGCCTTTATTCTTACTGATTATATTTTAGCTTTTTATAAAAGTTTTCATTTTGTATTGGGGTATAGCCAATTAACAATATTGTGGCCATTTCAGATGAACAGCGAAGGGACTCAGCCATACATATACAGGTATCTATTCTCCCCCAAACCCCCCTCCCATCCAGACTGCCACATAACACTGGGCAGAGTTCCCTGTGCTACACAGTAGGTCCTTGTTGGTTACCCATTTTAAATACAGCAGTGTCTGCATGCCCATGACATTTTTATAATCGACAACAACCGTGCCCAC